TACACCAAGTGACGCGACGGTGTGTGGGATCCACCGAGAGCACAGCTTTTTCACACCCAAATGTTTGTATAGTATTGATTGTATTTCACTCATGCCTATGGCTAAAGATGCCCGAATCTCGCGGTATGTCACGTGCCTGTCTGTTTTGATTACACGGCGCACAGCATCGACGTTTTTGTTGTTCACGTGTGTGAACACAGTGGACGGGTGACCATCACAAAATTCGTCACTGAGATTCACACGACCGCGTTTGAATGCTGCAAACCAGCTATAAATAGTCGTCTTGCATGATCCTTTATCGCCAAAAGCAGTTTGAAGCCGAGAGAAGCTCCGCTGAGCTGTTAAATTACACTTAAATTGGTAGAAAATCATACTACGAAAATTTTCACGAGTTAATCCATGGTGATGTAGACAACAAATTTCTAAAATGACGCCACAATGTAAAAACAAGTGACAGTCAGATGAAACAAACTGTGTTCTACAGCCAAAGAGTTCCATTTTCAAATGTTCTAATTACTTTTTAAATATTGTTTATGTAAGTGGCCAGTTCTAGAAACTTATAGTGCGCCCTATGTACTGGTTTGGCAAACGGTTCGAGGGTGTTTTTGCGTTCTTGTAAATATCGTATTTTTTTTTTATTTCGTTCTAAAAGCTTATTTGATTAGAAGCGTTTAAGTAGGCGCGACTTAATAACACCAGAAAGCATAAGGGCAGAAAAAACGGTCAACGGTCAACCCTAAGTTCTATTGTATTCTATTTCCTTAATGGCGGCCACTAGGCTTGGGTCAGTGTCAGTTTCAATAAACGTTGTCAGTAAATATTGATCAAAAACGCCAACGTTTAGGAACTCTACGTTGGTATCAATGATTTGTCGATACGGATGTCGATGCCGTCGATCAGCCGTCATTGGCTGCGTACGGACACGATCGGAAATTCGCAGAAAAAAGATTCGTTGCCGATTTGTGTTAAGCCACGTCGGCGTCGTACGAACAGATGCGCAACTCACAAAGTCCGTTTCGCTCTTATTTCTGTTGCGGATACGTGTCGATGGAGGCGCTGCTAATGTTCCCTTAGTAACTACGATTTTAATGCTAACGCGTTCGATGCCTTTGTCGTGACGAAAAAATTACACACAGGATTCTGACCGGTTTAATGTGATTACGTTAAATGTGGTGACTACTTAAACGGAGTTAAAGAACGGTGCTTCGTTTCTCGCCGACCATGGTGCGAGCCATGGTCGTTAGCGAGAGCCCGTAGAGTGCGGTGGCCTCCTTCTGCACCGATGTATTCACCGTAGAAGGAAGTGGCGGAGCGGGAGCGAGAGAAAGGACCTTCCTTTCATCCTATGCGCCGCACACGTTTAGGGCGCAGACGGCTGGCCTATGCCCACCAATTGCCGCCCTGACAGTGGACTCTGGATGGCAAAACGGGAGCTTTGTCACCCAATGGATAAGGTTTGACGGGTTGATTGACGTTCAAAGTATTCCCGGCATGCCACTAATGATGGAAGGAGGATAGTAAAGTCTACCAGAGGTGGGTCCGCAGTCGTAGACAATCTCAGGCGAGGCAGTGTATAAACACGTGGTTACAGCCCCGTTCTACGCAAGGTGTGGGAATACCCAGGGGTTTTTAGTGAGTAGGAGTCAGGAGGAAAAAAGATGTTTCGCTTCTAAAGGAAAACCATAATTGCTGTGCCTACGAACCTATAAGTTGGTGTTCACACCAAGAGTATTCATACTCTTCAAGGCTTATAACGAAATACGTAAGTATATTTTAGTGTTTTTAAGCAAAATGTAAAAATGAAAGTGTTAATTTTTAGAATTCAACAGATTTATCCATATTCTTCCGTCTGTTATAGAGCTGAAAGCGAGTATTACTAAATTCCACCCATGTATACATACATACAGTGTATAATGTATAGGAATATACCTATTTGTTTTACAACATAAACCTACATTTAGAACAACTTACGCTAAATAATACACAATAGCTTTACCTGAACGTCTCATGAACTTGTTCTGGAGTCTTTTCTAAGTCAGAAAACTGTTCCATTATTTCCACCATGTATTCTAAGCCCAAGTGGCAGTTTTGTAGAAGCACCCATAGACCCTGAAAATTTACTAAAAATTACTTCAAAGAATTGAGTATAAACAAACAAGAAGACCGACAAAATAGTTTTTTTTTTATTATTCACTACTAGGCCATTGTTTTAAACATTTGATTTACTATGTGAAGTGAATATTAAGAGTCGATGCTACCTCAGGTCGAATTAATATTTTTCCCGTACTAATACCGTTCATTCTGCTTGAGTCGAACGACTGGGACACTTGCTTTATTTCAGAATTTATTTTTTTACAAACGAATCCATTTGAATCCAAAATCCATTTAAAAAATGTATATCGTATAGTATACGTGTTCTGTTTAGTTCAGTTCATATTGGCATATTTACAGTACCTATTGAATACAGCGGTTTTGTTATAAAATTTCGAGGTATGTGTTTTTTTTTTCTATCGTAAAAATTTTTAGGTATCGTATTTTCACACCGTATTGTAATCAGTGTATATCCTCAATTTTACTATATATTATTTCCAAAATGATTGATTCAACACTTTCACTGTTACGCGGAATCAACCAAAGCCATTTGAGGTTGTATAAACTCTTAAGGGTATACACTTATAAAAGCGGAATCGGCTTGAGCCGATAAAAAAAAGCTTCGAGTCTCGGACCGCGCTGGTACGATACACACAACGTCTCTTCCACTTGTACATGGACATAAAGTTTTTTGTGACTGGCTTAATTCGATAAGTGTGGAGAACCCCTGTATCGAAATTAGAATACCAGTAAAATTACCTCAGAAAGTGCACGTGATATAAGCTTCCTAGCGTGCACTTCTTGACCCTGTCCCATAGAAATAGCAGAACACACGCATTCCATCCTCTTAGCGGTGATTTCAATGGACGGCGTTGGATCGGAGCCCATAGCCAAGAACCCAATCAGAGGCACTAAAGGTCGAGATTCCAACACCATTTGCTACAAAAAATAGTATAATTAAAATTTTAAAATCCCACGACGAAAAATTATTAATAGGATAGTTTTGCCAGCGCACTCTATAAAAACCTAGTTTGATCCTAATTTGCATGTTAGAAGCAAACTCGACGAAACATGGAAGAAACGGTCTAAAAACTAATATCAAAACATAATGGTTCATCAATTTTAACAAAACACCACCACACCACACCACATTTTCAAAATAGCACTGGCCCAAAATTTCTGTCAAAAAGATTACCATGACCTCAGGATTCATTCCTTTAATTTAAAAAGTTATCTACACATTCATTATCACCTTTCTAATGCATGTCGACTGCAATGGGGTAATAACACTACACTGCAGTCGATAACTATACTTCCCTATCCCTACCCTACCAATCAAAAAATGGTTGAAAAAACTCAAACTACCTGTTTTACAAATTTTCACGTAATTCTTACAATGAAGCCTTACCTCATAATTAACAATAACAGCTTCGGAATATCTTGCTCCCATTGACTGAATGACGTATTTTCTGAAAAAAAAAAAAATAAGGTAACGTTTTATAAATACAATTGCGTTTTACCAGACTGATGTATAATCCAGGATAATAAAGTTGAAAACACATTGCTTTAGATTTACTACTAATCTACCTAGTCAACAGTCTTGTATTTCTACGATGGGTTTACTGTGATAGTTGACGCTAGAGCGATCGCATAATGTGTTTGTATACAAACTATTTATTGTTCTTGTAGGTAACCGCCAGTGGCGCTGTAAAAGTCGCCATACAAAATTGACAAATATGCTACGCAATCGATAGCAACACAACTGTAACAGTGAACTCATGGTAGAGGCACTGTTGTACTATTCTGCTTTGACAAAATGAAAATCAAAATAATCTTTATTTCATAGGTAAGCATTATTACACTTGAATCATCACATTGGTTAAACTCTACCGCTCATTCATAAGGCAGATTCCCCTGATAAGAATGAGCAAGAAACTCTAGGGGTTGCTCTTTGTAAATATAACATTTGTACGCATTCAACATTTACAATGCTTTCAAACATCAGAGATCGAGACTACCTCCATGAGCTAAACGGGTTACTACCACAGATTTTTGTCATCCAAGTACGCAGAAGTAGTATAATAATACCTTATAAAGTTTTTGTTTCACTATAATTTTAAAAAAACGTGAACTGCAAATTTTGTATATCAACCGGAATCTTGTTATAGAAGCGTATACATAGCCCCTTAAATTAATTTGTCACTTTGTGAAGACGACTATCAAGAACAGCTACTTTATTTTGATTTCTCGTTGGTAGGTTAGTTGTTGTTGGTTCCATTGGTGCCTTTCAACTTTAAATAATAATGAAGTAGCATTGGCAAACAATACTATGTCATGTTTTACCCTCCATGAGGCTAGGTAAGTCATTAATTTATATTAATACTAATTTATATACGAAAAACAAAAATGGACCTAGAATTGAACCTTGAGGGACATCCATGCTTATTGCAGACCCTGATGATGTCGTACCGTTAACAAGATTCAAAACAATCCTCAAGAACAAATTGTGAATCGACGGGTATATTGAACACTCTACTGATATAATAAATAAGATACAGTCATAAAATTTGTATCTGAAATAAGTCTTGGACTGAATAAATTTGAGGTGTTTAGACAAACACAGCGATCTATAAGCGACAAAAATCTGTAGAAATTCTTAAAAAAATTAACAAAAAATGAATACTCAGAAAACAATCAAACATGACAGGCATAATGTTGGTTTGTTTGTTTGTATTGAGCTGAAATTTTTATTAGAATTAAAGGCATAATAACAGCAGAAGAATATATCGACGTAATCAAGCGAGAATTTGCAAGAACCTTGAGGACTACCATGAAATACGAAGCAACGATCATCGTTTTAGCTTCGTATCAGATAGGAGGCTACCACGAAATACGTACGAAAATCGTGATTTGAATCCTTACTCCAAAACGTCAAATGACAACTTTTGTATCGAATTTTGCAATTATTTTCATCATAAAACTGATGTTGTACGTATGAGGTTTGTTGTGAACGCAGTCACATACTGTCGTATTTCGTTGTAGACTCCCTGTTCTGAAATTGAATCTTGGACTTTACATGTCAGGAACATGACCTACAGTTTGTACAGATTGTCAACTATGTAATACAATTTGTCTCTTATACCTATTAATTTGTATCCAACACTAACTAGACCAATCTACACAGTAGTAGATCGCATTCAATTGTCATATTGACAAAGTAGATATAAATTATATAAATTGCTTAAGTTTAACTTACAAGCTCTGTGCCAACGTTCTATCGGGGCACCAAGCACGAACAACCAACAACTTTCGAAACACATCTAAGTTATGATAACCATCTGGCAACGGTTCGTCCTCTGGTGCTTCTTTGTCAAACCTTTAAATATTAAAAATATTAAATGCTATTATAAGTTTCAATATTGTCAAAAAGTTCATCAAATATTAAAACGACTACGGATTAATTGGTAACTCTCTGGATGATTAATTAGAATACAATGGAATAGAAACCATTTATTGCAACGCCACAACATAAAAGAAAGCACAAAAAAGACTAATGTATATACAAGCAAAAATAACACGCATATTATTTTTAATTAACTCAACGAGGTTTAAATGAACATTGAGTATGAGCGTTATTATTATTCTTAAAGAACAACTCTATTAAAGCGTGTCATAATATTCTTACAATTTGTATAGTTTCAATTGATAACTTACCAATTTTTCCAACCCTTTTCATTGTTAGTCACTTGGTCAATGATGTTTGTATACTGACGCAAAGAGGACAGCTGAACCAGGTTAAGCCAAGACATGTCTGTGATCCATTTATACGGTTTTGGAGGGCAAGCGTTAAGATCTAACGCAGCGCCACCTAACAGGCAATATTTCATCAATTTACAAATAAGTGGAATAAGCTACCAAAGCTGATCATTTAAAAAAAATCATATACCTATCAGTAGTATTAAGTGTGTAGTATCATAAATTTAAACAAAAATCAGCAACAACCTCATTCCCAATCAATAATAATTTAATAATTAGCGTAGTCGATTGCTTCTGCACGCCCTGATGCCTTCATTGGCAGTATCCTTTGATCGTCTCTATAAGCCAAACTAACGCGTCTCGTAACTACCTCCGTAACGGTTACCAAGCCGGACTACCACGCAGAGGTCTCAAGTTCGATTCCCAGACTGGGAGAAATATTTGTATGGCCTACATTTATTTATCTACTAAGTTTGTGTGTAATTTGTGGTTGTCTATGACGCTTACACGCTCCATGGTCATGGGTTGACTGGCTAGCGGCAGATACAGCTTCAAGAACAGACATATCTGTCTATCCTCTTTCGCTGTCGACGACTACCCTCATCCGATCGTGTCATGTGTTCCTTCATACTCATACTCTCTTCATACTAACTCTATCTATCGACCAGAGAGATGGGGTTTTCCGGAGAGACTATGGACTCGACGGCAAGACCAGGGTACAGGGGGCATCGGGGCCAAGCCCTCCGCCAGTGATACGCCATCACGGGCGTCTCAGGTGGACCCGGAATTGGGTATGGTCTCGCAGGGGCTTGTGGTGAGCAGCAGAGACGGACATGTTTGCCTGCCCCGGTTGCATGTGGCCGAAGCGTCTGTCTCGTGTGCAGCTAGCGCGTCTTAGTAGCGGTCTAGTTGAGAGCCTGAAGCGAGGCACTACGACTGGCATCACCGGCATTAGCCCGGAGAGTCAGTAGATGAAAAGCTAGATATCCTCCGGTCCCTTCAGCCGCTTAGGTTATTGTGAACTGGAGAGACGTCGTTTTTCGGCGTCGGGAAGCGAGCGTGCCTTACAGCTCCGCCACCAATGAGGAGATTTGGTAGTGGATTTCAGCTTAGCGGTGACAACCGCTAGTAGTGCAATGCACGACGGGAAGTGAGCGTGCCTATAGCTCCAGTACCTATCTGGAAAAAAGGGAGGGTGCTGTATTTGCACCCGGGCGGCTCACCCGAGGCACTAACCTCTCGAGAACCGGATGAAATCAAGTGACAGAGGTCTGTGACAACCCTGTACACTGGCTGATCTGGGATCAGAACCTGAACTTGTAAGGTTCCTGTGCGTGCACAGGAATAGCCCTTCTCGTATACCCCAAGGGTCGGTAGGGAGGGTCAGACGCCCGTGAAGGCGTATTACTGGCAGAGGGCTCGACCCGGAGGTCCGACGTCCCCTGGTCTTACTGGGGAGCCCGTAGTCTCCCCGAAACTCCCTATCTCTCGGATCAGTAAATAGGGACTTATGAAGGAATACATGACACTTGAGGAGACGACTAGCCACATGCCAGATGAGGCTAGTCGTCAACATCGAATGAAGGTAGACAGATATGTCTGTTCTTAAAGTTGTCATCTGCCATTGGCGACTCAACCCGAGACCATGGAGCGTGTAACCGTTCCGAAATACTGGGAAAATAAAAAAATCATATCGTAGTAAAAAATCTGTAATTAGTGATAACCGTGAAACGAAAGAGATCCAAAAAATGCAACTGAATCTAAAAAGTAACCTTCGATTTTGTGGCATTATGTCTGTCCTCTCTCAGTGACTCCATGAAATGTTAAGCTGTATTGTAAATTGTATGTAAATACCTTTAATGAAAGTCTGGAACTCCTCGAAAGTTATGTATTCCTTTTCCAAATCAATTTTCAGAGTCAACAATAGCGTAAACAAATATTTGTGTTTCTCGTAAAAACCTCGAGATATGAATTTGAACACATCGAATGTCTGGAAAGGTCATAGGAACATTAAATACATTTTCATTATTTACGAATTTCTTTTATAATATTTTTTTTTCTTTATTTGCGTAAAATCCTACCACAGATGAGACAAGACGACTTCCAGGTTTGGTTTAGCATACCGTAACGATTATAACTGTACTTGTCGATTCAAATAATATACCATACACTCACCAAATAATCAATAATGAAAGCGATCCTTCTACTAGTGATGGGGCTCGGCGTGGACTTCTCCATAGAGATGTCGAATCGTTCCAAGAACTGCGCCAGTGAGGTTTGATACATATTGCACACTAGCGACATATTGCACACTAAAAAGTAAAGAACAGAACCGCGCGTAGCAACAGGGCGGAATTCTTCGCGTGCCGCATTTATTTTTATTTCCGTCTCTTTAGCAATATCTAGTTTTTCTCTCACCTGTAAGAAGCAAGAAGTGCATTAAATATTTTTATTAGTTCAAACAATATTTCATTAAGTACGAAATTCCTATGTACCTAAAGGGACACGCATTTCGCAGAATACCTGCACCAGAACCAATTCAGAAAACTTCATTTCCCAAATTACTCCCACCGGGAACCGAACCCGGTACCTCCGCATCCAGCGCGCAGTGTAAACCGTTTGGCCACCAACATCGTCATAAATGTAAAAAACTAAAAACCGTTTCCTATTGAAACTCCAGCAACTATTTTTTAATTTTTTTTTTCCGAATCTGAAACCCGTAGTAATGTTTGCTTTTCCATACAAACCAACGTTTCGACTTGTAAATAAACTGAAGAGTTGGTTTGTTCGAAAAAGACAAAATACGCAATTTTTATTTCCAGTGTGTAGAAACCGTGAAAGCTTAAGAATTAAATCGCATAAGAAACCAAATGCTGTCGTAACTCAAAATTGTGGAATTGTGACAACACTATTTAAAAATAAAAAAGTACTGACGGATCTTATTGCGAGTAACATGTGCTTATTTTTATTATACATAATACTTAATTATCCATTTATAAACAAGAATATTTTTTTAGTGTCAATCAACATTCTTTTGAGTTACGACAGTATTAATGTATACTAATTTTCGGCCCCTTATGTATAAGTGTATTACATAATATTTCAAATCAAGTTAGGTACTTTAATTTAGTATATACATTCGTAACTTTATGTATTATTCATAATAATTCTTCTCGTTATTTTTTCGTAATAAATATAATCTTAATTCAAACCTCAGTGGCGGTAGCCTTAGTGATGTTGAGCACTTGAATCAAAGATACGTCCTCGACCAGCGACCCTTGAATAGTAGTCAGTTTGTGCAATAGATTCGCTTCTAACTCCTGCATCTTACGTCTATTCGATGTCACGTCCATTATCAACTGTGTACGTTCACTTTCCAGTTCTGATTTCTCAGTCATAATTACGCGACCTAATAATTGATCTTCCAAACCTAACAACAAATTATACATTTAAAAATTTTACAAGGTATTGTAAATATTAATAAAATTAGGCGATACGTGCTAACAAATGTGGCATGTGACATGTAACATGTGATTATATTATGTTATGTAAAATTTTTAAATTATCAATAAAATAATAAAACAGAACAAAAGCATTTTTATCGAATGAAAATCCTAAAAATAATATCAACGACATGAAACAAAATATGCAAAAGTGAAATTTTATAACTTTCCTTTTTAAACACAAAAAGTAAGTGACAAATTTCGTTTGTAGAATGTTTAAAACTCCCTATAGAAAGTAATAATTTTGCTGACGTGCATTATCACGCTAAGTGTGAGATTTGTGACCTTTTGTAAAATAAAGCAGAAATATGAACCGTTATATTGTAGGTAGATAAAGATTATTATTTACAACGTATAGTGGGCATGACTGAAGGTCAGTCATTTCCTAACCGGTATTTCATTCTTACGTACCCAACTTTATTGGACGCTTATAGAAACGTTGCAGTAAGCTTTTTTATATTTAAAAGCGCAGATGCAGCGCCACGAGTGCGCTTCTTTTGCAGACTACATATTGTACGAAAATCAGTATTAATGCGGCTACCGCGGCACAAACGTGTCACTGCGCCGCTTTCTAGAAGCATCTACTTTGGCGCCCTTACATTACAACTCTTCGCCAAAGATCTCACTCTGTCAGATCATTAGGGATTAGTAGCAGTAGAGCTCGTTGTGAAGACTTCGTCCAGGGAAGTACTGCCACCTTATGTATTTCTGCCGCCAAGCATTAATGTCAGCATTTTTGTGTTCCGGTTTTGAATGTAAGAGTGCTGGTGAAATGACAGGTATATGGGTCTTGTCAACTTATGTCTCAGGGTGACGGGCGCAGTGGTAGTGCGCCTCAGGTCTTTGCGATTTAAAGAGCTGCAACTGTTATGGACAGGCGTGTGGCTTACTATCAGGTGCAGGACTTGTGCGTCTCGTCACTTGATATTATAAAAAAATTATATTGTAAGTTAGACATCGGTATTAAAATGTTACCTTGCATAGTGACAGTAAAGTCAATAATAGATGTACGCGCCGATATCTCAGGAGTGTACGCAGGATTTGGCAACTTCGTTGTTATGTATATTTTGTGCCCATGAGTTACGTCAATTTCCTTATCCCCTAATTTCACCTGAAATTTGTTGCTATTAAAATGGACTTAGGTACAAGTAAGATGTCACAGATACAAAAAGCAATCACAGAGCAGCAAATACTGAGATGGTCATAAGCCTATTCTCTTGAATGACTTCAGAAACAGAAAACCGACAACTCGCAGCAGCGTAATCCAAGATGTACGCCACCATTAAACCACAGACAAAAGTTCAGAGGAACAGAACAAAACGGATTCAAAGTCGTGTAAGACATATCTACGTTGTGAAACAAATAAAATACGAACTTTGTAGGAAGATCCGATCTTGATGTAATTTTTTTCTAAAACATTATCAAGTACTGGATCAAGTTCCTCAGCCACATCTTCTATCAACATGGGTCTGCCTAGAGACACACAATCTTCAATGTGATTTCTGGAAAGCAAATCATACTGTTACAACACATCACTACCTGCACTGCAAAGGGCACTTTGTTGTCTATCTGCTTTGACTATGCATGCATGTATGCCACCGCTGCAAACGCGGGTCGCCACACGTGTAGAATGCTAGGCACTGACAGTGTACATGGTTAAAACCTGCGCGTTGTCGTTCACGGCAAGAACATTTCAACGCGCGTCATCGCGATTCGACACGCGGCAGGTATGCGTCCTTCTGAACCTAGCCTTACTGGCACGATCGTCTGCATAGGATACCCTAAAAATACACTATGGGTTCATAGGCGCAGTTAAATCTGCGTAACCAATTGATTTGAAATTTATAACCAGAGCAAAATTACAGCTTACCTAAAGTACTTATGGTTAAGCGTAGTGACTATTAGATCATTGTGTTTCTCCATATTCTTGATCCAATTCTTGCCCTGTGTCTGAGGATCTATAAGCAACGGAAACCGCGCTGCCTTTGTTACGATGATACCGTTCTGAATGGACAGCTCATCCGTCGGCAGTCCGCATAAATTCCAGTCACCAATCTATTCAGTTATTTTATTAGGATTTAAAAATTGAAGGATGACGGTAATGAATTAATGATTTATCATCCACTTCTGGACAATAGTTTCTAAAAAATTAGGATTGGCAATGTTCGCTACTTTAACACCTTCGACTAGGATCGCTTCATAGCGATCTGCATAACTAATCATCAAAGTAAGAAACATCCCCTACGATACTAAGGTAAAAGTCCCAGTGGTTGACGCTTTTAGACGGAAAATCACGTATTTTGCCTAAAAAGTACTTAATTATCAGTCATACTGACTAATAACTGATAAGTAAGTAATGTTAAATAAATGACTATATGATTTATATTTCAAGGACAAAATATCAATTCTATTACTTCGCTTTACTAGTCTGTACTAATTGTAAGTTGCATTCTCTTTATAGTTTTTTTTACTACTGAAATTGACAGGAATGACTATTTTTTTTACAAACCGTTAACTTCCATGATAAATATGAGCTCTGATTATAACAGGGGGAAAAGTTACCGTTGCAGTATCTGTTAGTTGTTCAGTAATATTCAAATTCATGGACACAGGTATTTTTCTCCTGAGTAAGTCGTTTAGCCAAGTGCCCAACAACATCGTACGGAATTCTTGATTAAATGGTCCCGAATAAGACAAGAAACTGCAAAGTTTTAAAATTTCGTTTAATTCCAATTAGCTCGCTTATAAATGCATTCACGATGCTGATGGGGCTGCCGCTGTCTTAGATGTTCGCGGAGGCATGTGTCGATTGCTTCTACACGATGCGGTAACGCACATCCTGGCCCGCGGGGTTTGGGCCAGCACCCACAGTATCTTGAGTATGATAGCGAACCGGCTCGACTGTCCGTACGTGGATCACGGTTCTGTGATCCACATACGTAAAAATAAGTAGTAGTGTAGTGTTTTTGTCTTCTTTATAGTTTCTGTACCTGTACTAACATAGTACATATTTAAGTGTAACTGTTACTATTTAATACCCATTTGGGTACTACCATAGATTTAGTATATAGGTAATCTATGGGAGATTGGCAATGGAAGTGAAAGAGCGTCAGCGTGTATGTTAGAGCGAGATGGGTAGACGAAACCACTTCATTATACGCTATGAGCCTGTATGAACCTAGGGTGCGCTGACAACGAAACAAATTTCGTTTATTTTTGAAAAATAATTGGTTTTAAAATGTGAAATAGTGTTAAACGGACGTTTATTAGTCATGGTAACGTGTTCAGTGCCCGGATGTAACTCATCTAAAAAGGACAACTCGCAGAATTATACGTTTCACATGTAAGTACTATTTAAATTTTTAGCTGTCTAAAAGCACTACCACAAAAGTTTTTTACATAAATATATCCGTAAAATTATACCATTCAAGTGCTTTAATAACCCAAATGTACACGAATTCAATTAAAAAATATATGAAATACGTGAATTTCTGAAATTCATAACCCCACTTTCATAGAGATTGACGCAATCGATAATATGTTATCGAGATGTTATTAACTGAAAAAAAGAAAGGCAAAGGCGTGGCTTGCATACAGCCGAAATCATCTTAATACTTAATATTATTGAATCAGAAATTTCTGGTTTCAGTACTTTATATTTAATTAATATTGCATTAGTGCATTATTTTTTGTCTATATTAAAACGAAAATTTCTTTTAATAACAGAGTTGAGGCACACATTTTTTTATGTTAATTATTGTTGTTGATTCAGATTTCCTCAAAACATTGAAGTACGACAGAAATGGCTTATAATGCTAAAGGGAGAAGACTGGGTTCCCAAAAATTTTCAAAAATATGCAGCAAACACTTTGAGGAAAAACGCTTTTCCTTTAGAGGCAAGCAAAGAGTAAAGCTACGTTCTGGTTCTGTACCCACATTATTCATGCCGGTATATCTTACAATTAATGGATTTTTGTGTAGTACTACTCTCGTAAACAACAAATCAGCGAAATCGCTTCGAGGGCCGCAGTTGGAGTTGTCCTCATGCAGCCAATCGTCGCCATTCAGGTTAGTCTTTGGAATTTGCCCAGCTTGTCGGTTGCGGTCGTCAGCTTGGTTTGTGGCCACCGTACTATGGCGCCGTAACTGGTCATGGGTCTTTTCACCGTTTTGTAGAGCCATAGTGTTATCTTGGGTGAAAGTCTCCATTGTTTACCTACCATCCTATGGCACTGCCAGAAGGTGAGTGAGTAGCTTTCTTAATTTTGTATTGAATCACTAATTAATTAGTTAATTATCGTCTCGGCGTTTTGCGATAAGACATTTTGGTGTATACTACGAATATGTTAATCGATATTAAAGTTAAATCAGTGGATGGCGCAACACTATTTATCTTGCACACATGCACATTATACGCACACAGATGTATTTTTGTTTTGGTCTCGTCTCCAATACTTCAGGGCCAATCTATTGGATATACTAAATCTATGGGTGCTACACTTGTTTTTTTGTTTTGTTTTTTGGATTAAAAAAACGAAAACAAAAAAACAATGATCGTAAACCTATTTCTTCAGTCAAATTACATTAAAAGAAAATATCGTCAGAATTGATATATTAACGTAATATTATCCAGGAATTTTTAAACGACATTTATGACACGATCATATTACGTTATTATTTTATTATTTTACAAACAAAATCCGTTTAATGTTTGGAAGCCCTGTTTCTTTAAGTTTTTTATAGTGCAAGTGTTTGAAAAAGATTATATGGACAGAGGGAAATTTTTCATTTCATTTATAATACACGTAATAATTATATAAAGGTAGTAAATATGTTTCAGAATTTTGTTTGTCACCTTTGTTCGCAAAATGACTGAATGAAACAGATTAAAGACCCAAAATTTCCATCTGTGTGATGATAAAACGCACGAAGTATAAATGGATTCATGTCACCCTAATAAACGAAATTTTATTACATTATTATTATAAAAGGAAAATTATCCGCTACACAATATTTTTTTCGTATGATTCTTACTTAAGTAAACTTACCCGATCAATAGCAAAATATCACCAACAAGTCGCTCTATCTCAGACTTGAATAGTGCCGACTGCTCGGTCCATCGCACCCTTTCACCGCTCAATCCGTTGATTAGAGCAGTCGCGGCATCCATTTTTGCCTGGCATTTAGCTGCGTCATCCAACACAGCTTGTTGCAGTGCCATGGCTTCATCGAATTGCTTTTGCACGTGGGCTAATTCACGCTGAAAATTAATTTATGTTAAAACCGTTAGTCGCAACCATCAAGTATATAACTAGAAATAAAAACGAAATGTCATCTAATTTGTTTGGAAACTATTCTGCCAAATCATTACGATGACAACTGCGCTCCGATTGGCCAGCTCGAATTCGAAACAACCCCCCATTGTTAGAGATATTATCTTTATTACAATAAATGGAGAATATTTTTGGAATATACAGAGACGTACACACAGGTCAGTTGTTGGCGCTGTACTATTTCAGCTTTCTAATTTGTGTGAGTGATTTCAGCGCAAACGAGAGGTTGATATTTAAAAGTGATATAAGACCCTTTTATCTGATGAGTTGCTAGGGATGGACGGCCCTTATTTCCTCTCTATTTCTGATAATGGTTGATATGCTCGATGGTCGCAACAAAATAAATACTACTTTTTTATTGTGGGCTTTAAAGCGCGAAACACACAGAGCGGGTGTGTACTTTTTTTTTATTATTATAGCACTTAGTACAAAATCGTAGATACCTAAGTTAGGGCACCGACCCTACTATTTATTATACAGGGATATTTGTAAAATACTAACAACCTCACAGGACTATAAAATAATCTAAGGTCGGCGGACTAAAACACATAAGTCAAAATAATTTGTTATTTCATTGATTTGTAACTTGGTGCGTCTTTTTCAAATTTATCATTCTCTTCACATCTTCCAACACAAAAAAAAATATATATTTATGTATTAAAAAATGAAGTATTTTTTTACATAAGTGCTCGAGTCCGCTGACCCTACTTATATCATAAACAACAACTTTTGTTACCTTTAAAATTTATAATAATAATTAATGAAATTTTATTTTACTACAAAAATAAAAATATTTAAATAAATTGATCTAAACGGTGATAACTCTAACTCTGTACGTTAAGAAAAGAAAGTCCTAGCGCAGCGTGACGACGACTCTTGCACGTTTAGACTTACTACCCTACTACCAAATATAGATCTAAAAAGTGTCAGATAGTACAACAAAAACTTAAGTTTATTTTTGGTAAATTTATGTTTTGTAATAAGTTATGGATCGAAAGTTGTTGTATGATGTTAGTAATATGGTCCTGCGAGAAAGTTAGCAATTTACAAATAAAGCCTGTATAATTAGACCTCCATTACTGCAGTATCTTTTTTTTTGTCTATCGCGTTGTGTTTATTTGGATAATCCCAACTTACGCTACATTTGTAATTCTTGAAGATAAGAACACATATAATTGTAATGACAGTAATTTATTTCAAGTATCAAGCGCACCTCCTTCGCTGCCAACAATGCTTCCGCTGCGTCTAGTTCCTTTTTAGCACCTTGATATTTGCCTTGCATGATAGCCAAGTTTGCCTTTAAAGGCAATACGTCTTTATTAACAGCATAAAATTGTGCCATGGCAATAGTCCATGAAATCAGACCGGCAACGTTACCGCAAGCTATTTTCGCTGCCTCAAATGTATATTGACTGGAATTCGAAAAAAATTAAATTTCGAGATTATTAATACTTCGACGAACACTTAAAAAATCCTTCGATCCGGCCGAATTCGAACCGACGTCTCCTAGCAAACCGTGCCAGACACTACGCCAACTAACCCACGAAACGAAACGTCGGATCTTGGCAATAAAAAAAATAAAAAGTCAAAATGTGATTTAGCGGTTTTTGTACCGACGACGCCCCTCTTATTGTTCATAAAAAACATCACAGATAAAACAAAATCAGCAATTTAAAATCATCTCTAATCAATCTCTAATAAATTTCAAAGATATTACAAAAAAATCCGTGGGAATCGGTTTACAAACACACTACTACTTTCACCAAACGTATATGAAATACCTTTATCAGATAGGAAATGAATTAGTACTTACGGAAAATTAAAATAAGGCTGTAACAAGTCGACCATTTCGGCATTGATTTCATCTTTCGGATAATTTTTCAAGTTACTCAAAAATCTCGCATCGGCCATAACCTTTTGCAAAATAATTTCACCAATAATAATTATTCCACAATTTCATAATGAAATAGTGTAAGTAAGTAATAGTTTAAATTTAAAAAAATAAAACAGAATAACACCAAACAATAATTGCCTTTCCATTTTTCTCCATTGGAATTCTCGATATAGAAGGTACAATGTAACGGTCTGTTTAAAGACAGTATACCTACACTTGCCGGTATTTTTGATTGTTACTATTTGTGATGCTAAACAATACCTTGCACCCATTGACTTACAATTAAATGGACTATAGACCCGTCGTACACAAACCACAAAAAAATGTCCTAAGTCAACCTATTCAAATGTAGTGACATGTAAAGGAATATGAAAAAGCTAAAACGTTGAATTTAAATTGTAATGTCATTGTAGTACTGCCTAATTTTGCTTGCAACAAATGAATGGCGCAAAAAAACACCATATGCAGCTTCTAGTGAAAACTACTTGGACACAGGTATAATGGAGTAAGTAGCCTTTATTATTTATAAATAAATTATATACGTAAATGTTGAACTTTATACAATGCCATTTATTACGACCTAGGGTGTCTGACTTTTTTTTCTTGAGTTCCGAGAATTCTCGTACCCGATTTTTCGAGTTATTCGAGATTTTTTTAAAAAACCGTAAAAAATCAGCTCAATCAACTATAAAACTAAATGTGAACTTTTCGAAAGTTGTTTTGGCCTGGGTGTTCTGAGTTATGCCCCGGAATAAATTTTATCGTTCTTGGTCCCAAGTTCGATTCCCAGTAGAACCAATTTGGGAAATGAACTTATGTAAATTGGTTCTGCTCTGGGATTCTGTTGCTCTGATACGCATGGGGAGTATGTACAGAGAGTTCCCTAGTTTCAAACCAGGTGATTGTATTGCAAACGTTATTTCGGGCAAATGTATTTTCGGTTTTCTGATTCGCAAACCCGAGCCGTGGAAAGAGTACAACAACATTTGAAAGTATTACTAACATGTATTAAAAAATATTTTAATAATAACATTAGCATCAAAGCGACTATATGAAATTTTTGTTCTCAATATTTCAAACGCTTGTGTTTCAAACAATTCAAATTGCCGTGATGGTTCTCGTTCAGTTTTTTACGCAAGCAATGAGTCGGAAAGAGACAGTTAGCTATTTGATTATTTTGATTGCTTTTGTAATTTGTATTTACGATTAATTTAAATATAATATAAATACTATATATACTAGTGCATAAAATAACACTTTTAAATGATAACTATGATAACACAATGTAGTACTTACTGAAAATATGATATACCACCCTGTTATTTCACTTTAGTTGAGTAATTTTTACAAGGTTTTACTACACAATACGGCATCATTGACAAACGCGCTGTCAGTCGAACAAACGAAGACTAAAGCGTGATTGACGCTCTGTATACGATTTTAACGCCCTGCAAGTTCGGACACTTTTTAGCACGGACCTGACGTCGATTTATTTGTAAGTCAATGCTTGCACCCTATTAACTAACATCTTGTATAAGGCGTATGTTATGTATTATCAGTATAGGGTAATTTTCCGAAAAATTTAAAATAGTGGAAATTTTTCAGAAATATTTTCTGAAAAATCGGAAAAATGTAATTAAGTTTTATTTATTATAAAATTAAAATGTATAAATGTTGCTAAATGTAATTTTGTAAGCCTTGCTTGGTTTATTTTTACAAATTCTCATAATTATAGTTAATCTTCCACCCTTGACAGGTGTCATTGTTAGTAACTCATTGTCAAATGTGGAAAAATATAGGAAAATACATATTTTTCTGAAAAATATCAAAATTTTGAAAAAATTAAATGAAAAATGCTATCAACCAACTACTTCAGTTAGTAACGAGGTAGTTTAGTAGGTAATCTCAATAGGTTAGATCAAAACCAATCGTAACAAACAACCTCAACTACAATCATTGCCTACCAACAAACAATGACTACCATATAATCAAGCTGTACTACTGACTTTTAATGATTCAGCCCAAGAAGCTGTCAGGAAATTCTTTTCCAGGTCGGGCTTGATTGGATCTATCTTCTTTCTGAACAAGATGATCACAGCATCCATAATGAGAGTAATCAAGAACGGCGGTTTCCCTAATTTTCTTACTGTCGCAATGTCAGCGGCATTGATAGTCTGTAAATCACAAAATATATTATTGATTAACTGAAAAAATAACTAATACCGACTAATTTGTTTGTACTTAGTGTTAAATAAACTATGTATTTATTTATTACAATACCAAAATGCAACGTGTCTTTGCAAATTCACAATTACCCTAAGTTTGATGAATGTCGACTTTTTAACTTTAAATTCCAAGTTTTGTATAATACCTACAGTTGTGAATATTTTAGTTAGGTGTCGTTATTTAGAAACAGCGTCATTGTTTGTAAATTTTAGTTATGGACTAAAAAGTCATTTGAAATATTAATTTTAGAACGAATTCAATTCCTCAATAACTTAGTAATGGGGCTCTAAAAATTATTTAATTTGAATAGAATTTTGTTTGATGTAAAAATACTTTATCGTGTACATAATAAAGGTAGTTTTTGCTAACCCTGTACAAATTGTACGAAACAAATAAAACCAAAACAATACCTGCAAAGCAGCTTCAGCTGCATCTAAAGCCGGTTTAGCAGCTGCGAGTTTGTCTTCAGCGACTGCGGTCTCCGCCGCAATAACGCTCACGAGAGCTACCGCACGTTCCTTTACTTCCAGCACTTCTCCTTTCACTATTTCAGCTGCTGCTTGAGATTCAGCTACCGCTGCCAATACCTATTCGAATAAGGGTGGTTTGATTATCAATAACGCGTTGTAACCAGATTATTAATGTTCGTTAAGACCGTCTTTATTTTTAATTTCTTGACTCCGACACTAAACATTAGTAACATAGGTCCAGGTTCAAAAATTTGGCAATAATTGCAAACAAAGTCATGGGCAAGTCATATATAAGACCTTTTGAGATATTTAGAAGTACGGCCTCGTTTCAAGTCAAGGGTTTATTCTCACAATCGAAACAATCACCACTTATTAACGAATAATTGGAGACACGACACAAATGTTTAACATTAACATCAGAAATACCTTGCCGGCTATATATAGTAAGGTGGATTCTAATAATGGGGAAGGAAAGAAATTCTGCTACAGTTGCTACGGCAACGAAACGGCATTCTGCCGTGCTTACGATAAGAACAGTAAGTCTCCATAAATTTCAAACATGCTTACTGTTAACATTGTAAGCATTCTCTGTGGCGTTCTAAGTACCTCCCGTATGCGGGTGAAACGCGGTTAAGATGGTAAATCAGCCATAGTAAGAGGGCAACACCATACTCATATTCGGAGCTGAGATATGCAATGTTTATAATTTCCAACCTGAACACGTTATATTTACTCCGATCAACTTGTGTACGGGGTCTCTTTAACGACTTCCACGCCGATCTTGCAAGTTCATGTCCGAAGGGAAGACCTCCCAAAAGTGGGTCGAATGGCATGTGGAGTGCGCTGCTTTTCTTTAAAAAAATTACTACGGGACGTAATTAAATTAAAGTGTATAAAAACTTTACGTCGTCAGCTTTTGCAGTAGCGACTTTGATCTCCTGTTCTTTAATTTCCAATTCCTTCTTCAGTACGTCTACGCTAGCGGCGGCCTCTATAAGTTTGTCTAAGCCAGTGGTCATTCTGCAAAGTTTATTGTTTGCTTTAGTTAGCATTGATAAAGAAAAGAATAAGTGCGCATGGAAATAATACACTAGCAATATTAGAATTATAATACTTTCTTAATATCCGTGCTACTATTGTTTGCCTAGGGATTAACTGCAAAAAATAAAAAGCGTAGCAATTATGGCAGAATCGTTACGATGACGTTTCTGCTAAAAATAATAAATAGATTCAGGCGTTACTTTGTCATTTGCTACTCCGCGACCCAGTGAAGGTTTTAACCTTTTATTATGTGTTATTTATTTTATAAATTTTATGCGGAGAGAGGGTGGGAAAATTAACTGCATGAAAAAAATATTCAACACAAGAGCAGTTATTTTGCACGATTTAACATTCACTGGGTTCGCGGAATAGCAAATTAATTTACTTCCATTTTTATTCTGCTAAACTGTTTATAGTTAATTTATACGTTGGTCAGCTAAAAAAATAAACGAACCTTCTAGCCATTTCGGCGATATTAGAATGTTTCTCCTTGTACAAAACCTTGTAACCTTCCAAGAAGGAAAGGTATGACTTTGGAGTAACGTGTGCCTGCCTCCTAAATCGATCGTAGTAGCTAACACACGCATCTGCCACATTGTCTTGGACAGAGCCCATCATTTCTATTACTTGCACTTTTGTTTCAATAGAACACACAATCTGTGTAATATACAAAACATGTTTGTTTATGAAATTGTTGCACGGGACCCATTTTTTAATTTTATTCCCTGCTAGCCGTAAGTATCCATATAGGACAAGTTACAGGGCGATGAGAAACTGGACGTATTGAATTTCTGTTATTTATAAAATAGGACACAATGAACATTTAACGGTAATAAAAAGGGAAATATAAAAAAATATTTACTGGATATTCCCAAAGGAAGTGGTGCGCTACTTCTATGAGCGCCTCTTTCGGCCATTTTTGGAACCAGTCCATAGTCGACCCAGAAATTAGACCGGGAAACTTTAACGCTCTACTTCTGAACTTTTCACCGACCTGCAAGATAAATACAATTCGTATATAAAAGGATCTATTTATGAGTTTTCAAATAAAAGACACGATAATTTTGAATTTGTTAGCTTGACAGTTTTATTAGATACTGACTTCCGCCAATACAAGTGCAAGATAAGTACACGATTATCGCACAATGAACAGAATTTTAATTCAAAAAGCTTAATATATTATAAAGATTTTACCGGCGAAAAGCAGAGAACAACGTGCAAATTAGCTCTCGACCGCATGATGAAGTATTCGTACAACACATCAGGTACTGGTACCCTCCTTGGTGCTAACTTTTTCATAATAGGAGTTAGTTCATTTAGTATTTCATCTGAAATAATTATTACCTTTGTGATAATCATGCTCTACTACCACAATATAGTTAGGCATGATTATCAACTATTCGCCTACTTTATTATTCAAATGCCTCCGTGGCTGAACTGTTATCACGCTGGACTGCCACGTAGAGGTCTCGGCTTCGATTCCCGGGCCGGGAGAACTATTTATATGGCCTACATCTATTTCTCTCGTGATTTTAAGAGTAATTTGTGGTTGTCTATGTATGTGTCCATGATACCAGCGATATAGGTTTTCCCTATATTTAAAATTTTTTTATGACTATTTTTATTGTCTAGACAATACGAAGCAGAACTTATTACTCAAAATCATACCCATTTCATCCTTAGCGAATAGATTAGCGATTTCACCCGAACTGAGGATATTGTTAAGGAATTCGAGAAACTGCTCATCTTTAATGTCGTTATCGGTGAATATGAACGTGATTCCTTGGCCTTCCAAACCGGCTACGCGGTAAAGCACCTTTATATCATCACAAAAATTGTTTACGTTATATGATCTGTGGAAGAAGGAGTAGTGACAAACTTTAGTTCGTACACCATAGTAAGCAGGAACATGAACCTGCGCATTCCTTTCAAATTTTATTTTATGTAAAATGGAGTCTAACAAGCAGACATTTAGTAGCATTAGAGCAGAAAGCTGCACCAAAATAAATATACCAACAGCTAGATATAGCCCTCAAAGCCGTTTTATTACATTGAACTCATTTACGCTCATTTAGTGGTACATTGTAATTTTGGTACCATTGAATTAAACAATAATATGTAACACAATGTGTTAAGACACTTAATTACATTTTGCCAAAATCAACGTGGCACAAAATGACCGATTTTAAAGTTAAAGATAAATGACTTCTAGATAGACCCAAATACTCATCGAGACTAAACTGTGAACCGATTCTTGCTTTACAGTGTCAAAGATATACGCGTGTATCTCCAGATAGTATAATTCCATTGCTAGACGTAGAGTGACCATGTTGAATGATTTTTGAGGACATATCATGCGATTTTTTACATCTTCACATAAATGCAACTTTAATGATAAATATTATATAAACTCAATTCAATATTACATACCAAATAGTACGTACTATTTGTATTAATTGTTGGTAGCAGTAGAGCTCCACCATATCTCCAATTAACACTACGCCAACCATTGACTTACAAATAAATGGACGACGGGTCTAATACAAAAACCACGAAAAAAATGTCCAAAGTCAACCTATTCGAAATTTAAATTGTAATGTCATCGCAGTATCGCGCTGTCAGTAGAACAAATGAAGACTAAAGCGGAGTGTCGCGCTCTGTATACGATTTTAGCGCCTTACAAGTGCGGACACTTTTTAGCGCGGACCCGACGTCCATATAATTGTAAGTCAATGACGCCAACTTAAATTTTGGACCTGTTCTGTTTTTATTTTGTTTTCTGTTTCTTTATTTATTTTTCACAAAATTCGTTTTTTTTTGTTTAATTTAATTTTTTTTTTTTTCATAAAATTCGGGAACATAAATAGTAAATAAATGCGTCTGTTTACAAAAATAACAGAAATAGTTAAAAAAATAAATATGGCGTAATGTTCATTGGAGGTATTGTTGTGAAAGAGTTTGTCCAGGGAAGTACTGTAATAACTCTTCGCCAAAGGTCTCACTCTGTCAGATCATTAGGGATTAGTAGCAGTAAAGCTCCTTGTGAAAAGTTCGTCCAGGGAAGTATTACCACCTTACACCTATTTCGGCCGCCAAGCAATAATGAGAGCATTAGTGCGTTACTGTTTTTTAAGGATAAGGGTGCTGATGAAATTACAGGCACACGACACTTGTCAACTTATGTCTCAGGGCGACAGACGCAGCGGCAGTGCCCCTCCGATCTTTGCATTTTAAGCCTTTTGACACTGCAACTGATATGGACAGGCGTGTCTGTTACTACCAAGCGCACAACTTGTTCGTACCGTCACTTGGTATTATAAAAAAAATAAGACACTTGTTGGAAGGTGGTCATTATGGTCATTACGCATTACCCATGGACATTTGCAACTCCAGAGGAGCTGGGCAGATTAACTATAAAATATAGCGTAAAAAATAGAAAAGGACTAACACTTATTCAATTTATTATAATAACCAAGACAGAAGACACTTCTAGCATCTTGGCCAGATCTCAATGGGACGAGGATTCGATCTCTCCCATCAAAAAGAAGTAGCCTTATAGTTAGTACATATATTTATCTCGTTTCAATATACTTAACTAAATAATATTACTACACAAGGCGGACTATAAGTTTCTGGAACTGGCCACTTACATAAACAATATTTAAGAAGTAATTACAACATTTGAAAATGGAACTCTTTGGCTGTAGAACACGGTTTGTTTCATCTGACTGTCACTTGATTTTACATTGCGGCGTCATTTTAGAAATTGGTTGTGTACATCACCATGGATTTAACTTGTGAAAATTATCGTAACATGATTTTCTACGACTTTAAGTGTAATTTAACAGCTCAGCGGAGCTTCCCTCGGCTTCAAACTGCTTTTGGTGATGAAGCACCATGCAAGACGACTATTTATAGCTGGTTTGCAGAATTCAAACGCGGTCGTGCGAATCTCAGTGACGAATTCCCTCATGGTCGCCCGTCCACTGCTGTGAATAACAAAAACATCGATGCTGTGCGCCGTATAATCAAAACAGACAGGCATGTGACATACCATGATATTCGGGCATCTTTAGCCTTCCAGCGGTCGCGCGAGGTCTCAAAGACCGCAGCGATCTTATGTTAGTCATTTTACAAAAACTATAAACAACAAACGGTTGCGCGACCGTGATATCCTCGAAGGGGTGAGGTACTTTCCCTTAGTAGCCCTGTGATGTTCGTCGCAAGCGCATATGTGTCTTTATTTGTGTTTGCGGTCTCAGATTTCGCGCGCGACTGGTCGTGTTCCAGAAAAATTCATGGAATGAAATTGAAACCTGGGTGAGTATTTCATGTTTTTAGCACTATATTACTTACCAAATTACATTATTTTATGTAATATGTATTAAATTATTCATTATTTTACTATTTGTTGTAGACACAACATGAGTTACGAAGAATCAGAATGGCTTGCAGAGGAGGCGGAAACAGAAGATGAAGATTTTGATGATGTCAAACCATTGCTACCGATAATTAGTAGGTTATCGTACTGCCTGCTCCTAAAAAAAACTTAGAAGTTTTTTATTTTGTTTTCCTTTTTTATTTTATAAGTATTGAGATATTACGTAGAACATCATGAAAAACACATTAAAAATTAATGTGATTTTGGAATTCCTAAAATATTGTGCAATTGATGACAATATTGATTGATCGCGATAATAATCTATTACAGTGTTATACTTATGAACGATAAAGAAAGTAAATTTCATCTTGTTTTATTATTTTGTTGATTTTTAACGTTGTTTGTATCATGTAACTAAAATTTTGAATTTTTATAGACTGTAATAAGTACAAAAAAAGTAAATAATGTTTTCATATTTTCATTTAAATAGATGAAAGACTTTTTTATCATGTGCTACACAACGTCATGAAAATATTCAACTGTCTTCTCAAACTGAACGCGCAATATTGCGGTCTCACAGACCGCACACGACTGCTTATGTTCGGCGCAAGGGTGCGACCACTGGAAGGTTAGACATAGGCATGAGCGAAATACAATTAATACTACACAAACATTTGGGTGTGAAAAAGAAAAAGGAGTGCTCTTGGTAGATCCCACACAATTTGACTGAGGCTCAAAAAACGGATCGCGTCACTTGGTGCAATCCCATGCTTACCAGATTCAACGAAGAGGCGTCAAATTTGGTGTGGGACATAGTAACAGGTGACGAAACGTGGATTTATAGTTACGATCCCAAAACAACGCAGCAATCGCGCGTATAGGTCTTATGAGATAAGCCGAAACCAACCAAAGCAGCGCGCGTGCAAAGTACCTCTAAGCGGATGATTGCTTTTTTTTTTAATAAAACTGAATACGTGGCTACTGTTGCTTTGGAGAATCGTTGTACCGTGAATAGTGATTGGTACACGACCATTTGTTTGCCGGAAGTTATTGACAAACTCCGTAAAAATAACCGTAAACGCCGTATCATCTTGGACCACGATAATGCCAGTTCTCACACGGCCTGACAGACAAATGATTTTTTGAAGGTGAACAACGTTGACCTTATGAGCCAACCCACATACAGTCCCGACCTTGTGACTTTTATTTATTTCAAAAAATTAAGAACCAGTTACGCGGTCAACGAGTTTTATCACCTGAATAGGCTGTCGAAAAGTATGAAAAATATATTTCAGAGATTGTCACGGAGGAGTGGCATAAATGTTTTCTAAATTGGTTCATTCGTATGAAAAAAGTGCATTAACGCTAACGGAAAATATTTTGAGAAACAATAAATTCATTTCTGCCATTTATAGTACTTTTTTCTTATTCATTTCGGAAACTTATAGTGCGCCACACGTAATCTTAACAGTGAAAAAAAATTATTCGACATTTTTAGACTAAGGAATATTATGCCAACGCTCATACAGCAACTGCAAAGGGTATTCTACTCAAATACTGTATTGTATTATTTACCTTGTCAATGTTATCTGATAGAAAGTAAAGTTGGCGATGTGAGACGCAAGTTTTGTTAAGCTCTGCTTACCGGAACCACCGACACCGACTAGCAAAGCATTGCCGCTGGAATAAGGGTTTTAAAAATAAATATGTGCTTCATTATCCCAATTGTGTAATAATTAATATGTGTCATAATTATATATAAGTAATTTATAATTGTATCCGTACTCCGTATTCCGTAAGATGACGCACTCAATTGCCACGTCCAGTCGCGCTACATAACATTTCGACTGCCAAAATGACAATCAATTGTGCCACCAGTGGTACGTGAAAAGGGACTTATATAATACGGACCATTCTGATAGAGGAGTCTAGACCGTAATGTTCACCACAACAATGTCCGGTAAATAGGTGTTTGCCAACATGACCTAGTAAAAACTAAAAAAGTTGCTCATTAAACCCCTATCGTAATTTACAATAATTTACCGAAAGCACTAAGTTCTGGAAAAAAAATGCTATTTAAAAACATAAGTAAACAACTTATTGGCTAATAAAATGTACTATACAATGTTTGAATTTTTAAATGGCAAATCCTTATATACATTGTCTAATTTTTTATTTTTGTATATTTATTTTGACGTTATTCAAATTATTATTATTTTGACATCTAGTTTTCATTAAAATTGACCCATATAACTATGACCACGTTTAAATGACTGACTGACTTACTAAATACAGCGCCGCGTAGACATTTAAGCTATGGTTGAGGATACGATAGAACTATCATGTACATTGTGACAAAGTTCCAAAATAAATAAAGATAAAAAGACATGACATTCATGTGTGCACGCAATATTATTAATTTTGTACGTAGTTTCTATCGTAAATGTCTGCCAGAGTTACAACCAGGTAGATATCAGTTGTGATCGTTGACGTCCAGAGCGCGAGGCGTCTAAAACGGGGCATTCATTATCCTGCATTACAGTACGCCTTGCCGTCCGCCGCGTAAAGCAGGATTATGAATGTAGTCGCAGTGTACAAGCCATTCTGCAATCCTGCATGCATCTTGCGAGACTCCATACGTGGGTCATACGCAGGATAGTGTGTGAGCAGTCTCCTGCCGGTAGTGAATGGGCCGTTTTAGAATGAATATAATCTTTCTAGAAGTCAGATGCATTACGGGAGTGTAGGTTCGAATGCTACCGACTGCGTAGAATTTTTCTGAATTAAGGTGAATGCTTTTTTCTTTCAATTACAACTTCTTCTACACCAATCATTTTGATTAACTTACCGTGGTGTATTAATTATTCTCGATATTATAAACAAATGCACCATAGCGTCGTGGAAGAATACTAAATCCAAATGAGACCCCCGAACCTGCTCGTTGAAAATGTCTTGAAACTTTAGTAAAAATGTTATAATTACGTCCCACCTGTAAAATTAAACTTAACATAATATATTACATATATTAATTTATATATAAGGTTCGCACACGCTTGTCGTCGTCGGTGATTTCGCAGTATCTAGTCAAATTAATAGAAAATGACGTTAAACATAATATATACGTTAGTGGACCCCACAATATAAAGTTTACTTCATATTTTTGGTCCGTTACTCTAATAATGTAAAGGAGTCATTCATATCAAATGTGACACTGTCGGGTGGTCTATTCTACATATAATTATGTATTTTTAACTTCAAAAAGGTTGGAGGTTCTCAATTCAACTGTATTTTTTTTGTAGGGGAATGTAAAGCGTAACGGGGTGGCGAGGCACAACAGGGCCACTCATACATCAAAGTAGCTAAATAGCTAAATATGCTAGCAGTGTATTGCTTTGCGACTAAGCGGCCAGTGCGGAAGTGACTGAAAGTGAACTGCACGCGTTCGTTTTTTTACGAGAAAAAACCATTTTTGGTCACGTTTCATCTTATTTTGTGCTACCACAAATACACATATAAAAAGTAAGTACTCCTGTTGATACTTTTGTTTTTTTTTTTTTTTTTTGTTACTTTATAGTTCTTTATTAACACACACTCATTGAAATTAACACAGTCCGACGTGATTGATACGTTACGAGAATAATTTCATTATTCAAACTAAAGCGTTTTGTAAAGGTGTTTTGAGAATTTATATTATATCTTATTTCGTTTCGGAAATATAAACTCCAACAACGCTCGACCTGACATCCACAGCGAAGAAGAACGAACAAAATACACTAAGTCCTGAGAACAAGTAGTTTTGCACATAGAACTTTGTTCTACGGATGAGTCGATTTGTTTTCAGTATATTAAATTATTTTTAGTCGTGGGCACGAGGACACAGACACGGCTACGGGGCATGATGGGGTACCCCATAATGCACCGTAGGCCTGTCCTATGGGTACCCCATCGTGCCCCATAGCTCAGTCGTTTTAATTTAATAATACTAAAAATTAATCGTAATATACATTAATTTTAATCAGTTTGTATAATTAGGGAAGGATTCCTTTTTTTTTGTTAGAAATAGGGTACCTCAGTATTGGTTCCATTTAAATTAAAAATTACACCTCTAAAGGTGGCAAAGAACGTGATGTAACCTGTTTCGCGCACTTTCGGGTAACCGATTTCAATAAAACTTGGCAAATAGATGTAATTCCACGAACTTTTCAGGTCGGTTTTTTTAGTAATCTGTACTGAGATTATTTATTTTTAGATTTTTATTGCTACATTTCTATTCCATATTTTTATTTTATTTCACTACTGCTATAGTTATATTTGTTATTTTGATTGTATTCATAGAGTTGGAATGGGTAGGAGAGGGGGTATAGGAACTCTATATATATATTTTTTATTAAATTATCACTTCTAGGATCAAAGCAAAGAATAGGTATATTTTATATTTACGGAGGCATTTCTTCATAAACTTTCGGCGCGTCAGTGCTAAATTCTTCATCTTCATCACCAGTGGGATCGGCTGGTTCTCGAAGGAAATTGACAAAGTAAGTCTCTTCTGTTGGAAAATCGGCAACATATCCAGGTAATTCTGCCGCAGCCGTCTTCCAAAAATTCGCTTCAAACCAATTTTTATCATCGTACGTCGTAAATCTAGAATAGCAACACCTATCTTATTTACAGCCATACTAACAAAATAGGTGGACCTAATTTGGATTTTAACAAAGAACCCCAAGCCCAAGGTACCTAGATAAAAAGGTGGTCCCTCTTTCCAGTAACTATTAAATTTGATAATATTTTACCGGTGAGAAATCTGTCCGATAGATTTACCAGTAACCTGTGAAAAGAGGCCCTGAGTCATTTTAGTACCACGGCCATTTTAGTACCATCGTCATTTTAGCACCCCAGTCATTTTAGTACCATGGTAATTTTAGCACCGCAGTCATTTTAGTACCATGGTCATTTTAGTACCACGGTCATTTTAGTACCATATATATATTCTTTATTGCACCAAATAAATAAACCAGAATTATGAGTTCAACAGAAAGTGAGCAAAGGTGGAGGTAGCCATAGTCATTTTAGCATAATGGTCACGGTTTAGAAACGTTACTCAAGGCGACTTTACGCACTCGTCTGCAGCTATTTGGTCGTAAGTTTTTAATGATTCAACATAAGCGACGGCATCGATGCAACCGCCTATCTTTTAAATAGCTAGAGTCGCGTTTGTATCGCTGCTAAACGTCGCCATGTGTAGCCACTTTTATAGGCTTCACAAAAGTTACTACGATAATAAAGACGTAAATAAGTACATACCTGTCAGAAATTACTCTTAAACACTCATGAAACCACAATTTCAGCGCCGTGCTGACAGACGTGCACTCTTCTCTTTTTATAAACAGAATACCTTCCCAAATACGAGACAAATCACGCAAATTAAACACGTAGTGAAACTTAGCCGGCGTTGGCAACATCTTTGTCTGTAATAAAATTTTATTTCTACCTTAATTTATTATTATTTATTTATTCATGAAAGAGAATAACAACAAAAACGCTTACTTGCAATTACTTACAATACATATTTGAGACGCTAGATTTGCAATACACATTACTTTGCTAAAACTGACGGAAAAGATGTCATGCTGGACGTTAGAGGCCAGACAATTTAGCAACATGAAACTGCGCGTTATTGGCGCATAGCACGGCAAATGTGTCACACGAGGAGCGCAAACAGTAGCTTAATACGTATATACTAAACTTATGGAATAATGTGCTGGTCCACCATTATTAAACCAACAATTCGTAGTGCTTGCGTGGCAGTGCGTGTATGCGTGCGTGCATGCAGCGTGCATGCGTGTACATGCATGCGTAGTGGCATAAATCTACTCTTTTTAAATACATAGCTTTCGAATTTATAGAGTAACTATAAAGTTACCCATATCAATGGCAACGCATTCCTCAACCAGAAACACTTTTCAAATTTATCACGCTTATATTTAATTATTTCAAATACATCGTCGCGGATACTGCAATTACGCGTAACTAGCATAGGATGATGAGTTTCCATTTCGGTAATTTAGTGGCCTAATCAAATCCGCGTATGTCGTGGCAACCAAATTAGCGTGATATATGGGAATCTATTATTATCAGTCCATAGACAACATATTGCTTACTGTGCAAAAATTAAAGCCTTAGCCATTGAAATAAAGTAATTACGTCGAATCCCTCTCCTATAAAAGTTGGTTTACTGCAGATACGCGCCTTTTGCCAATACACAACAAAACAATACGTACACGGATTTGCACTATCCCCAACGATATTCAAGGTCAGGTTATACAAGTGAAGAGACTTCTTTGTATGTGAATAGTGCTATTATGATTGTGTGCGTGTTATTCTGTTTATCTATCTCCAGTGCCGCAGACATCAGTTAGTTATTATATCTATAAACAATCTTTCAAACATTGAATTGAATAGATAATGGAAACCGTGAGGTAAGCGCCAGAGTTAACTGCCTCCGTGGCCGATCGGTTACCATTTGACTGCTACGCAGAGGTCTCAGGTTCGATACCTGGGCCGGGAGAAATGTTTGTATGGCCTACATTAATTTCTCTCGTGAAGTTGGGTGTAATTTGTGGTTGGCTATGTGTGTGTCCATGGCACCCGCGATACAGAGTCTTCCTAGTGCGCGGCTATGTTGAGTGTGTGCGTTAGAGTTACCTTAGTTTGTTGCCAAATAATACGCGTAACAGGCACAAGTTTGGGCATAAATTCCACAATCTTCTTATCGAAACGCGCCTTGCAAAAGTATCCAGCACTAATGGTTTCTGAAAGAAAAAAAATATTTTGTCACTTATCATAATAATTGTAAATTCTATAATGTCCAAAGAAAAGACATTAAAAACACATGTTACTAAGGACATTACACAAAGGTGCAGATAAATTGTCATGTGTGGCGTCATGCAGCCAACTTCAACAGCAAAGTTTCCAGCCAAACCAAGCAGTGGTGCAGAAAGAAGTCTGCGGGACTAATTTTATTATAGTACAAGAAATCTATTAAAATTTGAATGTACCAAAATATAAATGTAAAAGGTTTATATTACAAAAAATATTACAAATAAATGTGATTATAATATAAAGGTGATTTAAGCACCTATATAAACTTAATACACATAAATACATGCATAGACACAACATAATTTATAATCTAAACAA